GTGTGTGTGTGTGTGTGTGTGTGTGTCCGGAGCCAGGCTGCGGGAGCTGGAGGGGTTCCACGTGAGGAAGGGAAGGCTCCAGGGAGACCTCAGAGCCCTTTCCAGGGCCTACAGGGGCTCCAGCAGATCTGGAGAGTAACTTGGGATAAGGGGAAACGGCTTCCCACTGCCAGAGGGCAGGTTTAGATGGGATATTAGGAAGAAATTCTTCCCTGTGAGGGTGGGGAGGCCCTGGCCTCCACTTCCCATCCCTGGAAGTGCTCGAGGCCAGGTTGGACGGGCCTTGGAGCAACCTGGGATAGCGGGAGGTGTCCCTGCCCATTGAACACCTCCCAGCCTCCACAACCCAGCCCATCCTTCCATTCCATGTGCATCATGGCAAGGCACAGTGCCGGAGCCCGGAGCTGTAGGCACCCGGGCGGGTGGGTGTGCACCAGGGAGCATACAGGGGTGGGATTTGCCTCCAGGAGGAGCGGGCAGCACAATTTTGAGCCCCTGCAGCCCTCCCAGGCCCCAGCACTTTTCACCCTTGCACCTATCCGGCTCTTGCACCCAGGGCTGGGTGCCTGCCTGCAGCCCGGTCCCTAGCCTTGCCCGCTTCCCTTGTTCCCCCTCCTCACCCTGTACCTCTTCCTGGGACCCTGCGGCCTGGATCTGGGGTCCTGCAGCTTTCCCCATGTCCAACCCCATTGGAAACTCCAGCGGTGGGAGGTGCTGTGGGATGCAGGGCAGGGCTGGAAGGATCTGGACATGCTGCACTCCACCTGCCCCAAATCTGGGGAGCCTGTCTGTGGGTTTTCTCTGGCAGAACTGAGGAGCACAGTGTGGTGAGGGGAGGATGTTTATAGCGATCTGGGCAGTGTGGTCATTCAGTGTCTCCCCCCAGGGCCCCCCCGGTGATGGTGCTGACGGGTGGGTGATCTTGCAGGTGTGCACTGTGGGAACCACATCACCTCGCATGGGCTGGCGCTGAACTGCTGCACTGACCTCACCTGGTTCGACCACATCGTCCCCTGCGGGCTGGAGGGGAAGGGGGTCACCTCGCTGAGCCACGAGCTGGGGCAGCACGTCGCCGTCAACCACGTCCTTGAGCCCTTCCTCGACTCCTTCCAGGAGGTGTTTGACTGCACTTTGGTCTCTTCGGAAGAGCCCGGGGATTAGGATTGTTGTGGTGCCTTGGCTGGCTGTTTTGGCAGAGCCACGGGCGTCAGGGCAGCCCTGGGCATCTCTGTTGAGACGAGTTCTTGTGCCTTTGCCTGTAGACTGTGAGTGGACAGTGGCACAGCATTTCAGGCTGCTGTTTCAACATCCAAACCTCCACTGGGGCCATTCTCTCCGGCCCCGTGAGCCTCCTTCCCTCGTCTGAGACCTCCATGGGTACCACATCCCCACATCACTTGCTAGGGAAGTACCCAATCAGGTGCTTTTGTGGGTCTTTTTCTGCTTTTTGCCCCACAAAAATGAAAGATTTGTGTGAATGCTCATGAATTCACATGAATTTGTGTGGGTTGAGCATCCTTCTGTTGCTGATGGGTAAAAAGAGTCAGATTTTATATATAAAGAGAGTTGCTTGGAACTTTGCCTGCTGATCCTTTTCTCATTTATTTACCCCAAGATTTTATCAGTGACAACCTTTTTCTCGCCCTGAGCCCACTGAAATACTCACATGGCAAAGATCCTCTCCCTGGTGTCAGGGAGGGTGTAAAGGCTGGTTAAAGGCCATTGGAACACTGTGGATGCAGTGGAGAGGCAGGAGGAGGAGGGGAGGGGGTCGAGGTTCACAAGGAGAGAAGCCACTGCTGTCATGGATCCTGTGGGACCAGGTAGCATCCTGGCTGGGTGATGGAGAGCTGCTCCCACTGGCTCTGTGATGCTGGAGGGGGTGTTGCTGTCAGCCCTTCTGAGATCGCTGTCACAGCTGCAGCATCAGAGGCTGATTTCATGGTCAGGTTTTGTCAGGGCTGAGAAGCCAGCCTGAGGCTGAAGTACCCACACCCTGACCCCCACCCACAGCCCCTCGCTGCTGTTCTGGGTCTTCTCCCTACCCACAAACTTTGAGGTTTCTCTGCTGCTGCACAGCACTGGCAGCTCCCTGTGAGCCACCTGTGGGTGCCCAGGGGGGGCTGGAAGGAGGGGAAATCCCATTTCCTGGAGTAGACTGAGCTCCAGGAGGGAATGGTGAGCAGCAGGAACATGCCCAGGCAGGCTCTGTGCCAGTGTGAGGGCTTGGGGACAGCGGTGCCGGACGAGGAGGGACAGGAAAGCGTGACCGGCAGCGTGTGCCGGGGGAAGGCAGGGCCCATTCTCCCGGCCCCATAAAGCCCCCGGGATCCAGCTGGGGCTCGGGGCTGTGGCAGGACCCGCGGGGCTGGGGACAGGCTGGGTGACTGTGGCAGGTGGCTCTGCCCCGGGAAGGGGAGGAGGCTGGCAGTGCTCCCAGCCCAGCCAGCATCCCTCCCCGCCGGCAGCGATGCTCAGTCCCGGCTCAGCCTGGCAGCAGTGCAGGCAGGGAGGGCACACGAGGTGAGTGCGAGCTCCCCTTCCCACACCCTGTCTCCCACTCCTCTTCCTGCCCTTACATCCCCTTAAGGTGGGTCCCCCCAGGTCGTACCCCATCTGTGGGTCCCCTCCTGGGATTAACCCAGCTCTTGCCCTAAACCTCCCAAATTCAGCCTGTTTCTCTTAAGTCAGGAAGGCAGGCAGATCCGACCTCATCCCCTGGGCTCATGGCTGCTCGGCCCCTTCCTCCTCCTCCTCCTTACAGCTGGAGTTAAGGGTGACCCGTTTGGGAGGGGGATCAGCTGCCTCTGCCCAGGGGTGCAGCAGGCAAGGGGTGCTCAGGAGCTACTGGGGGACAGGGTGGATACCTGGGGGGACTGGTGTGTCCCAAAGGATGACACACGTGGGGGACAGTGTCCCAGTGCCCCTTCCTGGCCATGCCTGCCCAGGCCCCCCAGCAAGTTGTGAGGGGAGTCCAGGGGGGGGCTGGCAGAAGAGCACCTTGCCAGAGGAGGGATGGCAGGTCAGAGGGGTCTGGCACCCAAAGGGAAGGGAAATCCCCAGGGAGGTTTGGGGCAGCAACCCCCCAGGATAGGTTCACAGTGATTTGTGGGGGGCTGTGCCAACTCTGCACCCTGCAGGGGTGCCCACCATCCCCACACATCCATGGGGAAAGCAGACTTTGAACCCAGCCTTCCTGGTCCCTCTCGACAGCTGTGTTCCCACATTGTCCCTAGCCCTGGGGAGGAGAGAGGAGCAGGCAGCTGCCCCAGATCCCTGGGAATTTTATCCCTGCTGTGGAAGGACTGAAATTTAGGAGAAGGCTGCTGGGAACCCAGAGGGTTTGGCCACCTTGCTTTGTGGCAGAGGAGGTGCTTCGAGGAGCAGTTTGGGGCCATTGCTGGAACACCTCTGCTGTGAGGCTGGCCTCTTCAGAATCTCCCTGTCCTTTCCTGCAGCCTGAGGAGGACATGGGCGAGAACAACCGGACAGAGCCTTGGCACCAAAGCCTGCAGGCAGTGCTGAACGCCTTAAACCAGACGCTGCATGGGGCCATCCCCTGCCCCGGCCAGGCCCCGGCCGGCACGGCGGCGACCACGCACAGCGGCCACGCCGGCCGCAACGACAACGCCTACATGTAC